GTTTTCCTTAGTAGGAGCAGCAGAACCGTTAGAGGTGATAAGTCGTTGTTGCCAGGTTAAAATATTGGGCATCTGTTTTTCCTAGATAAAGGTTGAAGAGTTGTTAGGCCCCAGAAGAAGTGAACATTATCTGTATTATCAAACCCTACTTTTAGGCTGGGCTGGAATTGGGGTGGCCACCAGAACTTGTTACACCCTGTCTTGGAACTCCAGCAGAAACTGAAATTTGTGCAGGCCTCTTATTTTCAATGTGCCTCCATCCCACTATTCAGAAAGGCACTTCCCGCTTGGCTGCCTGCCGCAGGACTCCCTGGACAAGCTGTTCTCGAAGTCTCCGCCAGACTTTTCCTCTACGACTGGTGTTGCGTTGCTTGTGTTCTGTGATCCACTTGGGACACCTGTAATCAATCCTGTATGTGAGGAATCTAGATCACGAAGCGATTTCGAAATAGAATTGGCTCCCTCTTCCTTCCTTGAAGTAAGGATTGTGAATGTGGGGAAAAGAGAACGAGAGCTTGTTCTAGGCCCCACCTTCTTGCACCAGCTGAGCATAAACACCTCCAGTATGCAGTTCCCTCGAGGAGAGGGGATTAGGTAGCCTTTTTCTTCCCCAAAGATGTGAGACCTCAGTCAATAAATAGAGGATCAACAGTGACCATAATCTGAGTTTACCACATGGAGTGGTCTGAGGGCCAGGCTAATCAAGTAGAGATCTGGAAATGCATATATACTTATTCCTCTCTCTGCCAGTTACATAGACCCCACCCTCCCCTTTTTTAAAGAGATTTTTGCTATAGGGTGTGTACACTTGCTGGAAAGACAGACAAATGGGAAACCACCTCCCAGTGGGGAGTGGCCATGCTGCAATCCCTTCTCTGTTCTCCTCTCAAGATTTTAATCACACATGCACAAGTGCCGAGCATGAGTTTCAAGCCACCAGGTCCAGGACTCGCACCATTGGTGGCCCGTGGGAGTCCAGCACCTTAACCACTATACTACCTGCTAGCCCCATGTAGACCCATTTGGTAGGCATAATTTCTCTTTGGCAAAATCATGTACACAGGTTCTTTAAACAGTTTATTAAAAAACACCTATTATGAGGACAAGCAGGTGACATAGTGGTTAAGGTGCTGGACACTTCCACATCACTGACTGCAGTTCGAGTTCCAGGCCTGGTGGTGCTTTCTCACTTTCTCTCCCTCTCTCTCTCAAATTAAAAATGAATGAATAAATAAAATTAATTCTAAAAGAAATGCATAGTATGGAAGAACAGTGCATGAATTTCAAATTTTTGCACCAAACTAAATATGCATTTTAATCTCTTTTCCATTCGGGACCAGCAGATGGTGTAATGGCTAAGATCATTGGACTCCCACGTAGTTAACCATGGTTTGAGTCCCGGACGCGGTGGCTTAAACTCACGCTGGGCGCATGTGCTTGTGAGCCTAAGATCCCGAGAGGAGAATGGAGAAGCGATTGCGGCGTGGCTATCCCCCCTGGGGATAATTTCTCGCTTTCTGTCTCTCTTTCTGGCAAGAACTGGCGCCCTATAACAAAAACCTCTCCCCCCCCTAAACACAAAAAATTTTTATTCTTCCATGAACTTTTTGAAGCCCCTACCCCCCCACCCCAATACTTTTTTCTCCAAGTATTGTAGACAAACAACAATGCCAATACTTGCTTTATAAAGGTCCACATAAAAATGTGTGGCGCTTTGGACTAGAAAGCAGTTAAAAGTTTTAAAGTAAAGGAAATAGTTCATAGAAAACAAATGTTTTCTGTTCTCTGTGCTTTTATTCCCCCACAGAGAGCTCTCTGAGTATTGGCTTGGTTCTAAATCCCAAGGGAATGTAAGCTTGTGTTGCTTTCTGGGTTCTGAATGAGTGAATGTTGGGAAGTGCTGAGTCAGAGACCTCCACTGTATGTGGCCCTCCTACTGGCCCTGCCAGGTGGGTCTCAGAGTCCCTTGTCTCCAGCCCACATTTGGCCGAGTGGGGTGCTCTGGCTGCTGGGATGGCTGCATGGTTGGCTGACCTGATGGCCCGTGCGCGGTGGCTGGGCTGGCAGTCATGTGCCGTTTTGGCATTATAAACATCAGCTGTTCCACGCACCAGCCGTGGCGTGATCAGGTTACTCTCCTCTTTGAACTTGGAGTTCAGGCTCATCCCCATGCCTCTCTGAGGGTTAAAGAGAACCTATTAAGTGCTACTGCAGCACCTGACGCATAGTCAGTGCTCTTTCAGTATGGGCCTGCCATCTCCCAGATAACCTCCTCAGGGTTTTCTGTTCAGTGGAGACAGCTCTGTGTCTGTGGGGCCTTGTGTAGAAAAACAGAAGGCAAGACCAGTTTCAGTAGTACTTCCCACTGAAAAAATGATGGGAGCTTTGATCTTGTGTTTCCAATTCCTGGCAGCTTTGACCACTGGCCTAAGCATGCCTGAAGGGCTATTTCTTAGAATACTGTTCTTCAGCCTTATGAGCCAGGTAGTTTGTGTCAACCCCTGTAATCTTTTTTCTCCTTAATTATTCATTTTATTTATATGTGTGTGTATATATATATATATATATAGTTCATGTGCTCACCAAAGAGAGAGAGAGAAAGAGAGAGAATGAATGCAAGCTGCCAGGTCCAGGACTTGAACTGTGAGCAGCCATGTGGGAGTCCAGCACCTTAACCACCACACCACCTGCTGGTCCCAGCTCCTGTGATCTTAAATCTGGAAAGATTTAAAGAGGAACCTGAGGTCCTTTGAGGGGAAGGGATCTCACTCAGGGTCACTTGGTGAGCTAATAAAAGCTGGGAGCAGAACCCAGATCAACGCTTAGTTCTGCCCATCCTGTATCTCCCTTCAGTGGAGACTGGAGGGGCTGTATGTCTCCAGCCAACTACCTCTGGAGAGCTCGGCCTTTCCCAGGACCTGGGAGGCTGGGACCAGATGGATGGCATGACTCACATACTGGGTCCTCAAGCCTAAGCAGCTATTTAAAAACTTGGTTTTGGAGAGGCCAGTTTTCCTCTGATTTAAAGAGTCTGACACTCCAGATAGTAGTCTGAGAAATAAGCTGTCCTTCAGAGATACAACAGATATTTACCAAGGGCCATGCTAAGTGCTAGAGAGATAGCAGCAAACAAAACAAAGTCATACTGAAAAGGGATCTAATCTTTGGCAGCCCAGTAACCAAGCATCTTCTTTTATTTTCAAAGAAAAGTGTGTGTGTGTGTGTGTGTGTGTGTAAGAATTATTTAATTAATTATTCATTTATTTTAATTTGACTAGAGAGGGACAGAGAGATTCTTGACATAGGGACCAGGTGGCCTGCTTTCTCACCTTCTCTTTCTCTCTCTGGAAAGCACACATGCCCTATAGCAAATGAATAATAAATAAATAAAGTGAAAAAGGAAGCTGCCAAGTCTGGGACTCAAACCACAGCCAGCCATGTGGGAATCCAGTGCCCTTAACCACCATGCCTCCTACCGGCTTGAAATGTGTTATTTCTTAAAGTGATTAAATTCAGACTCTGCCCACTACTGGAAAATGTCATCTCAGTCATTCTTGTGCTTCCCCAATCCCAAGTTATGCCTAGATTCAGGATTATTAACTGTTGTCCAACATCAGGAAGCCCCCTCTGACCACTTGTCACGATTACTCATGTTCTCCTAACCCATTTGATCTCTCTAGTCCAGGGACCCTGCCTCCTTCTAGGCCAGTTTGGGATGTTGGACCCTCATAAGGCTGTTCACCAATTACTTCGGTCCTTTTGGACCTTGGCATTGACTGGTCTTACCAAGGAGCACAGTGGGGAGAAAGGGGCAGGCCCAAAAGAGGGCCATGTCATCCTCAAGTGTGTTTCTGCAGCTGCTTTTGGTGTCAGCATGTTTTGGTGCCTGATTTTTTTTTTTTTTTGAGAGGTTTTTGTTATAGGGCACGTGTGCTCGCCAGACAGACAGAGACAGAGAGACAGAAAGCGAGAAATCACCCCCCAGAGAGGATGGCCGCGCCGCAATCCCTTCTCCTCCATTCTCCTCTCAGGATCTTGGGCACGCACGCACACACGCCCGGCATGAGTTTTAAGCCACCGGGTCCAGGACGCAAACCGCGGTCGACTATGTGGGAGTCCAGCAACATAGCCATTAACGCCAACTGCTGGTCCCGGTGCCTGATTCTTGACATAGGGACCCAGGTGGCCTGCTTTCTCGAAACCGTCTCTTTTTCTCTCTCTCTGGCAAGCACACATGCCCTATAGCAAATTAAAAATAATAATAATAAATAAAATTAAATAAAGACTAAAGCTTTTTTTTTTTATGCAGCCAACCGGCATATAAAGTGTTTTATCACGTGGCAGTGGACAGGCAGCATGGGAGAATGAAGAACACTGCCATCCATCAGATTTGGTTTGAATCTTGGCTCTGTCTCGCACTAACTGTGTGACCTTGAGCAAATCCCTCAGTCTCTGCAGTAAAACGCGCATTGTCAAGTGGGTATGACAGTACTCAGCTTGGCTCTTAGGGCAGAGATGAGGACTAAACGGCGTATGACCAGCCGCCACCGTGCCGGGTCCCCAGGTGCCGAGTGGCTGGTTGCTGTTTCTGCCGCAGTGTTTGTCCGTCCAGGCTGATGGCCTGCAGGAGCCTACGTCTCCAGTCTAGGCACAGAAGGTGGTGTACGAGGGTCTTTAGCAGAGAGGGTGGGAAATTATCACCCAGGAAATGGAAGAGCTTTGTTACCTGAGGGGAAGAGGGTCAGGACTGACTGATCTACCGGTTGAAAGATGGGGAGTCTCTGTCCAGCCTCCCTCTCTTTGGATGACATGAGTCAGTGAGAAATTTAGCAACTTGAAGTGTCCTGACCTTTGGCCTGCTGAGGTTTCGGGGGCGAGAACGACCCTCCGGCCTTGTCTGTGCACTCGGGCCTCCTCCTGGCTCATTGGGAGCCACTCGGTTTGGTTGTCAGGTTACGCTGCCATGTCTGCCATCACTGACTGTCTTCACTCTCTTCCAGGGGCTCCACGGGCCTTACCCCTTCGGCCAGTCTTAAACGGGTGTCAGCAAGAAGAAAAATTAACAAAAGACAGAAGGCCTGACTTTGGGGGGGAGGGCAAGGGGCTCCTCTGGATTGCAGACCACATCGCACGGACCCCTGGCTCTGCCCCCATCCTGGAAGAAGCGGAAGAAGCAGAACAGACTAGTTTTGAGTAAACTCAGTATGCATGTGTGAATGCTGAATCGCAGGAATGGTGTTGAGGCTACCAAGAAGAAATCCATGCAGCCACCTTGGCTTTTGTGTATTAGGCGTCAGTCGAACAAGGCGTTAGGTCACTTGGGAAGGTGAAAGAAAAAAGTTGAAAATGGAGGGAAAAAAGCCATCTTTTTAAACAAAAATTATTTTGCCTACAGAGAGGTTGTAGTTTTGAGCACACGTTAATTTTTTTCCTCTTTCCCCACTTTTATTTTTTTAAATAAGGGATACATACTCTGTAGAATAGTGCTTGCTCTGGAAGCAGTTCGGGTTCGAAGCTGGCGTGGCATTTGGGGACTCTGCGGGTCAGTGCTGCAGGAGCACATCTGCCGTGCCACATGACTCCAGGAGTCTCTGACCCCGTTTGTTTTTAATGGCATCAGTTATCACCCTTTCCTCCTCTTTTCTCTTTAATCTTCTGTTGATTTACACCTTTGACATTTGTATTCATCAACCTTGTGGCTTGTCAGCATCAGAACCTCTCAGAAGACCAAACTTCCCTGTGTGAGCAGCAGAGGAAGCCTGGAAGACTGGTCTCGAGTGACAGTTTCTGAGGCCGAGAGGTGTCCTGTATACACGTTTTATGGTTCAGATTACTTTTCTTCCATGTGTCTCTTGGCAGAGAGAAATGCCATCACGCTTACTGCTCTTTTGGATTCTTCCTGCAGTGCTCCCCACTCCCTCTGGGAACAGCGCCTCTGTGCTGCGTGTTTGCGTGCACCATGCGCGCATGCACGGGTGTTGGTGCAACTCACCAGCAAGTGTGCCGCAGGCAGATGTGACGGCGCCCACGCTTCTCTGTTGTCACACAACTCGCTTCCCTGTGTTTCCCTTCGATTGTCATTTTGGTGTTTTCACAGCCCATTAGTGGAGGCTGAGCTGTTAAGGTATGAAAATACAGCCCTAGATGGGGACTCTGTCACGGAGAAGGGCCGGTCACTGACTGCGTGGTCTCGGAGACCACACTGAGATGGACATGAGAGGACCCACCCTGCCCTGTCCTCAGCAGGATGCTTGGTTGTTGGTAGGGAGATGGGCAGGGGGGCGGCCCAGCTGGCGCGGAGGCTGATTAGCTGGCTGCTCAGTCGGCGGGTGCCCCCCAGTCCCGGCACCCTGTGGATTCCGAGCAGGTTGAGATGTGGAGATCTCCTTGGGAAACTTGAATCAGGCTAGAACAGCTGTCTGCCAAAGATACAAGAATATGCAAAGTCCCTCTTCTCTTCTCACCCCTCCTTCCCTGAGTCTGAGTTGGTTTGAGAGCGGGGATATGGGTCTAGGGTGCGGTTGCAGGTCACCTGCTGTGGCCACGCCCCATCCCTCCTGGGGTGTGAAACAAGCAGGGGACCAGGTGCGAGTGGCTGCAGCAGGTCGTGTAGCCGGGGTGTGGGTGAAGGTCTGCCTGCCTGTCTCTGTCTGGGTGTCTGAGTTCCAAAAATCGTGTGGTGTTTGTCCTCCTCATCCTCTTCAGAGACTGTTGTTTTTTAAAGCTCGATTGTGGGAAGGAAGGCTTGTATGAAATCCCCCTTCTCCTCCCTGCCCCTCTCAGAGTAGAAGGGGGCCTCAGCACTGGCCCACTGGAGAAGCCCTGGGGGAGGGTGGAGCTGGCCTGCAGGGTAAAGGAAAAGCAGTGCCCCTGGCCTGGGCTAGACTGGCACCTACTTGAGCCCCTCCTTTTGCTGCGCACGCATGCATGCCCCCTCCCTAGTAGAGTAGAGGGTAGTCCCTGCTGTGCGCCCACACCACAGGGCTCAGGGTGGCCTTTTGTCTGAGGGCCCTGCTAGGCCTGGACTGCTGCTGCTGCTGGTGCCAATCTCCTGGGACACTGCCACCCGGTAGCCCGCACACGCCCAGCCGTTCTTCCTGCTCATACTGGGAGTCAGGGCTTCAACATATTACCTTATGGGTGTGGGGTGGGGAGTAAATGTGCAGCCATAAGATCAGGCATGTCACTCCTCTGCTCAGATTCCGCCAATGGCTCAGGTAAGTCACTGTCCTTACATGGGCTCCTTGGCCCTAAACCACTGGTCTCCACAGGGAGGATGCAGTTCTCCAGGGAGTGCTCAGGAAAACTGTGAGGGCATTTCCTGGTGTTCACAGTTACTGGGAGGTCAAAGAGGCAGTCAGTATTGGGGACCAGGGACACTAGGTAATCTTGCCCTACTGAAGACTGCTCCACATTTGCGCACCACTCTGATGTCCTGCCAGACACTCAGCACAGGCCAAAACCCTTTAACAATGAGCTGGGCCTACGACCGAATTGTTTCACATGTAAACATGGAAGCGTTTCTCGCACAATACTGACTTTTCTCAGAATGTAACTGCGGTGTGAGTCAGGTAATGCTGACGACCTCACAGCAGCATGTCTCCAGCTGCCCCTGGCAGATCTGCGGGAGACTTCCCAGCCCCTGCTTTCCCAGCTTCCTCACCTACCCCACACCAGGCGTCCCCTCCCAGTTCCCGGCAGGGGCTGCCTGCTCTGATCCCACAAGGGTTTCACAGGCCACCAGCAGTGGGCCTGGCAGTGAGGCACCCTGCTGCTTCTCTGGCTTATAGGCAGCCTCACAGGGCAAGGTAAACTTCCCGAGCACCTTCTTTCACAAGAATAAGCCATTTCTGTGTACACCGCTAGAGATTGAACTTGCAGAGGGCCAGAGCAAGTGCAAGTGTCAGGGTAGAGGGGACCTTGGCTTCTCCAGGCCCAACAGGGCGTCAGTACCATCATTCTCCCTTTTCTCCCTGGTGTGGGTTCTGGGCAACGTCTGGAGTCCCTCTCTCCCCTCCCTAGCAGGGTCTAGGCTGCCTCTTAGCCCTGGTAGTCCCTGCTTGCTTATACCCTTCACCAAGAAGCAGGCCACCTCTGAGCAGGTCCACCAGCGTCTGGCACCAGGAGGTGAGGCAGGCAGCATCCGTAGGTATCAGGGCCTGAACCCAGCTGGGGAGGTGGAGTGGGTCAGGCTTGGGAAGAACCTGTCCGTGTGCATGGAGTGAGGTGTGTGTGTGTTGGGTGTGTGTGCACGTGTGCATGCCTTTTTTTCTTTATGCTGTGGGGACAGTTGAATTTGGGGCATTTTTCTACAAGAAACAACTTTCTCTCCCCAGTAAGGACTGGTACAACCTAAGGCCGTCGGAGGCGCTTCATCCTGGAGAGAACCTCACCAAGACAGCTGGCGTGGCCGGAGGGTGGCCAGGGTGGGAAGAGGGCACGAGATAAATACCTCCCCAAATTTAACCGGAGCCCCAGCAGGAGAGGATGGTAGGTTGCGTGGGCTCAGAAGTGCAAGCTGGTTCCCCGCCCTGCCTTTCCTCTCCCTGTGTCCCTGGTGAACGCAGGTGCAGAGCAGCTGCCCCTTCCACCTGGACAGTGGTGTGTGTCGCAAGCAAGCTGGCTGGGTGTTTGTGGTGGGGCCTCATGGTGCCTAGGAGGAGATGAAGATGAGGAGGTTTTTCCTTACTGTGTAAATGAATATTTGTATGATTAAATTAACACACACACAAAAACAGCCTGCTTTCCTGCGTGTCGGTGAGTTTTATTGCGCCCTCCAGTCTCCTGAGTCCTGTGGGGGCCCCCAGTGGCTCGGCGATCTGCTCTTTAGTGTATGAGAAGACAGACCCTGAGGGTCATGTGTGTTTGGGATGTCAGTCCTGGAGTTACCACTGGAGCTGCTCCCCCTCCCGGCACCCAGTGACCAGAAAGGTAAGGAAACTGCCTCGAAGTAGCCATTTCGGTCAGCATAGTTCCCTGCCTCTGTGGGTCCCCACTGTGCCCCCTTGTCCAGCACGTGGCCCAGGGACAGCTCAGGAAGAAGGCAGCGTGTCAAGGGCAGCCCTCCTATTGAGTAAGCAGGCAGACTAGAGCCGGGGGAGTCTCCCCACCAGGGCCCCTGGCATCCGAGCACTAGGAGACACATCTTCCACGGTGGTCAGTCATGATTCCTGGGCCCAGACAGTCCTGGTTGAGATTAGACCTGGAAACCCAAAAGATAGGGACCACGCTTCAGACAACTGGCAAATGGACAAGGGTCAGTGTTACATGGGGTCAGAGAGCCTGAAAGAAAATGGGCAAATTGCAGTGGCAGGTGGGCTTGGCAGTTCCGTCCCATTGTGGGTGTAGCACTGCATATTCAGAGCTCGGGTTTGTCCTCAGCCATGTCAGCCTTCTATTAGAGGTGGTGGCGGGGGGGGGGTGGAAGGGGGGTGCTGGGGGC